TTTTTTATTCAATTAAAAAATACAATTTTCTTTGAGATTTCTTCTGTAGTCCATGATTCATTTAGGAATGTGTGGCTAAATTTCCAAGTATTTGGGCATTTCTCAAATACCTTTCTTTTGTTTATTTCTAAGTAATTTGATCTGAGAAGATACTTTACATCTCTCAGTCCTTTTATATATGCTGAGATTATTTTATGGCATAGTAGGTGGCCTATAATGGAAAACATTCTATACGTTCTTGAAAAGAATGTGTATTCTGTGGTTGTTGAATAGAATATTCTAAAACCATCAGTTAGATCAACTTGGTAAGTACTGTTTTTTAGTCTCTTTATCCTGACTTGTTCTTAGTCTTGTTGGTATGATCACTTTTTGAAGGTGGAGTATTGAAACCACCGACTATAGTTTTGATATGTTCATTTCTTCTGTCATTTCGGTCAGTTCTTACTTCGCATATTTTGGAACTCTGCTGGTATGTGTCAGGAAACACCAACAGTGCTGCCCAGGCAAATGCTCATCACACAAAAATCAACTGAATTTAAGATTTATGGGATGCCACCAAGTTTACCAATATATGCAAATGGGAGTCTCAGGAAGAGAGGAGCAAGAGAAAGAGGAACAAAAAAGTCATGGCCAAAAATTCCTCTGATGACGGAAAACATCAATCAAGAGAACCTAGAAATTTAATGACTCTCAAGTACAATAAACACAGAGATACTTATCTAGACATTATAGTCAAACTTCAGAAAGCAAAAACACACAGAGAAACTATTGAAATCAACAAGAGAAAAATGAATCATCATGTGTAGGAGACCAGCAATATGGCTGAAATGATGGAGGTCAGAAGATAGTGTGACATGCACCAAGAAACAAACAAAAGTCACCAAGAATTCTATACCCAACAAAGCTATCCTTTGAAAACATAGGTGAAACCAAGACATTCCCAGATAAGCAAAAAATAAGAGATTTCAAGTTAGCAGGCCTGCCTTACAGAAAAATCTTAAGGTCATCAGGCTGAAAGAAAATGACAATGACAGTACCTTGAATCCATAGGCAGAAATAAAAAACACCTGAAGGAGGTAATATAAGAGGAATGATAGGTAGGTAGGTAGATGGATGGATAGATAAATAGATAGATAGGTATAGACTGATAGATAAACATAAAAGCAGAAGTTAACAAGGCAGAAAATTCTGAAACAGTAAACTAAGAAATACATAAACTAACTTTTTGAGAAAAATACAAAATTGCTTCTCAACTAAAAGACAGGGAGAACAAATATACTAAATAAGGAATGACAAGGGGAAATTATCATAAAAGAGTACATTTTTAAAAACAGTATTTTGTACAATTCTCTACAAATAACTTCAAAGCCTAAATGAAATGGATCACATTTGAAGAAAATGCAGTTTAACAAAACTGACTCTAATGCAGATAGAAAGCCTAAGCAGAGCAATGGTTAATGGCTCTAAGAGAAATACATGCACCGTCCCATCCCAGCAACAAAGCAGCTCCAATAGAAATGAAAGGTGAGAGGAGAGTTTATGAGGCATTTAGCAGCAGGCACATTCCCAGAATCCCATTCCCTGCCAACTTTCTCCTTTACTGGAAGCAAACTGGTAGCCAACGGAACAGAAGTAGCTAACACAGAAATATGTTCAATTGGATGAAATATTTACTATAAACAAAAATGTTTACATGAAGACAAAATTCTTCAGAATTCTATTCTAATTCTCATAATAAGAGCCCAACCTGGTTACAAGGATGATTTGGCATGACGAGAAAGTACGTGGAATCACTTCAGACTTGCTAACGATCGAAGGGCGTTTGTTTAGAAATAAGAAATAGGGGAGCACCTGGGCGGCTCAGTCAGTTAAGCAACCAACTTCAGCTCAGGTCGTGATCTCACAGGTTCATGAGTTCAGGCCCCACATCCAGTTCTCTGCTCTCAACGCAGAACCTGCTTCAGATCCTCTGTCTCCCTCTCTCTCTGCCCTTCCCCCCACTCACACTTGCTCTCTCTCTCTCAAACATAAATAAACATTTAAAAAAGAAATAAGAAACAGGACACCTATGGGACAGAACCTAGAAATGGACAGCAGCGAATCTTTAGAATAGCCACTCTTAGAAAAGAGATCCAGGGGCGCCTGGGTGGCTCAGTGGGTTAAGGTTCTGACTTCGGCTCAGGTCATGATCTCACAGGTTGTGGGTTCAAGCCCCGCATTGGGCTCTGTGCTGACACCTCAGAGCCTGGAGCCTGCTTCGGATTCTGTGTCTCCCTCTCTCTCTGCCGCCCTCTCCCACTCACACTCTGTCTCTGTCTCTCTCTCAAAAATAAATAAAAACATTAAAAAATATATTTTAGAAAAAAAAAGAAAGTAAAGAGATCAACCAAGAATTTAGAGAAAAAATTGGGCTTGAGCAAGCCATCTGCCAAAAGTATGCTCAAGGATTTCAGCAAGAATAGACACAGTTAGCTTAGGACACCAGAGAGTAAAGGATGTTTTGCATTTCAGGCAGATGGAGAGAGCATACTAACTGTGCTTTTAGTTTTAGAAGTTAGAGTAAATTGAAAAATAATTCCTGCAAGAATAAGACTCCAGTCAAACTCTTAAAAGACAGAGAGAAAAAAAGAATCCTTGAGAAATTCATTATTAAGAGTTGAAAATACAGGTTTTGGAATTCGACTTACCTGGCCACTTCCCAGTTTTACCAAGTTATTGAACCTCTCTAAAGATGTTTCCTAGTCTATAAAATGGAGTCCATAATATATAACTCCCAGAGTGTTTATTAAGTCGAGAAAATGTATATGGATTGCCTAACACAGTCCCCAGCACAAAATTAGACTCAATAATAAATGATGATGTTAATAGCGGTAATATTAGTAGCAGTGCTACTAGTTAACCATTTTGTAAGCGAAATCTTAATGAGCGGTTACTTTATGCTAGGCACTGCTATCACCTCTTAGTGTTTTAATGTTAACTCATTCAGTCTTCACAGCAACTCCATGAAGCACACGCTTTTATTGGCACGAATTAGTGATAGTAAAATTAAGGCACGAAACAGCTCATTTACTCACCTAACACGAAAGTAAGTGGCAGAACCAGTATTCGAATCCAGACCTCTAGAGCCTTCCATGTTAACCACTAACCTGGAGGCAGCAGTGGCTGTCAGAGAATGCCGGAGATGAAAACTATGTCTAAGGCAGAAAGAACGCAAAGGAACAACATGTATAAACCCCAGAGAACAGCTGTTTCTCCCAATCTGAATTACCCAGGAGAGTGGAGCCTAGCCGGGTGATGCTCTGTGAAGGGAAGGAAGGACTCTATCTCTGCAGGACCTGGGACCGTGGGCGCAGGTGGGGACAGTGACATCACAGACAAACCACCTACAGGCTGACAAGAGCTGGAAGAAGATGTGTCCCTTCTCCTACCCTTCCCTGGGTAGCAGGCTCCTCTGAGGACTAAGCTTTTTGTCTCCTGGGAGTGGGTGAGACCATGGAGCACAAGGAAAACTCACACGCTGGGATTTCTAGGCTCTAGCATGAGCCTTATTTCTTTTTCACGGCCAAAATATTGACCTTCCTGGTGCACACTGCCTATAACTTCTGCTGCTTCTCCCCCAGGTCACTTGAATATTAGAGAAATCTAGAATCTAGATATAAAGCAGAACAGAGGGGCAAGAGAAAGCTTTTGCTTGAATGCCTTTAGGACTTTGCTTGTGACAGAATGTTCTGGCGTGACCAAGCCCCAGGGTTGGGGCTACAGCAGAGCCACTGCTGGCTTGTTGCTGGCCGCACTGAAGAAGATTCCCTGATGCATGCAGTGTCTCCTGGAAGAAGAAGGAAGTTTCTTCAGGCCCTGGACCCACCTCTGCACTCCATGCTAGCATTCTATCTATGACAATACACAGCCACATCCTCAGGTGGCCCAGAATTTGAGAAGAAAACAATCGTCCTAGAAATAGCGTTAAATAGCGGAAAGCCACATCTATGACATTTGAACTTCAGTTCATCTGTGGTGACTCACATCCCACAATTTCCCTAAAATGCTTTTTTTCCCCAAGCAAGCAGTTTTGAGAGCAGTTACTAAGTCACTCGAGGGGATCAATAGCTACAAGCACCTGCATAGTGTTTGTCCACACCAGGAAACCTCTGGTCAAATGAGTTCCTACAACAGATTGAGATCACCTCTGAGAATGTTCTAGGCACCTACCAGATTTTCCCGTGTTTGTGCACATTTACCTGCTCTGTTCCCTTCACCACAACCTGCTCACTGCCCACAAAAGGAGAAGGGGCACCAGACATTATTGGGAAAGCATGCTGAGATTAAATGGTGGAAATTCATGGAAATGAAGGACATTAGGCTGGCTCAAGGTTAGAGTACTCTTAGAGTAAAATTTCAAGCTGGCTAGCGAGATAACATGGGAAAGAGTTTCCAGAGAAGTGTTTGGAGAAAACCCTCAAGGGTCCATGCAATGCTACTCTACTCACCATAAGGGTCTGGTAAAAATTCTAGTGCTTTTATTTTATTTTATTTTTTATTTTTGAGAGAGAGAGAGAGAGAGAGAGAGAGCATAACTGGAGGAGGTGCAGAAAGAGCAAGGGACAACAGTGAGCCTGATGTGGGGCTTGAACTCATGAACCACAAGATCATGACCTGAGCTGAAGTTGGATGCTCAACTCACTGAGCCACCCAGGTGTCCTGGGCCTGGTAAAAATTCTAAAAACATGAACCCACCATGTAAAAATGATATATCATATAAGAGAAATTAGAATTCATAGAGATAAAAATAACAACAACAACCTTCCATGCTAATGCTTTAACAGAACATCATAAATGATTTGTGACCTAAATGAAGGAAACCAACCACATTCTATTAAGCCCAAGTGGCTTTTGATTCTTTTCTGAAGCACTGAGGGAGGAGGGCGTGGTCTCTGGCCAGGAAGCAACTAAAAAATCGTTGGCCTCAGAGACTAAGTTCATCACAGCACCAGACAGCAGCATTCATCAGGTGTCGCCATGAGCAACAGGTTCCTCTGCTATGTTGTACTTTGTCTCATCAGAGTAGGTGAGTCCTGGGCACCTGTCACTGGCTTCCCAGGCTCCCTCCACAGAACATTCCTTCAGGACAATAGCATCAGTCTCCTCTCCCCTGGCTCTGCCTGTATTTGACCATCTTTTTTCTTTTTCTGCCACAGACCTCAAGGATGCTGTAGTCACACAATTCCCAAGACATAAGATCTTGGGGACAGGAAAGAAATTAATCCTCCAGTGTACACAGGATATGAATCATGTGTCAATGTACTGGTATCGCCAAGACCCTGGATCTGGCCTGCAGCTGATCTACTATTCAGCCGGTACCAAAGCCTTTGAAAAAGGAGATGTCCCTGACGGGTACCATGTCTCTCGAGATGATTTGTCACATTTTCCCCTGACCCTGGACCACGCCAGCACCAAACAGACATCTGTGTATTTCTGCGCAAGCAGTTTATCCACAGTGCTACACAACCACATCCTCTCTACACAAGAAGGAGGCAAACCAAGGAGTGAGGGGACACTGCCCCCAAACCATGGGGCACCTGGGTGGCTCAGTCTGTTAAGCCTCTGACTTCGGCTCAGGTCATGATCTCATGGCTCGTGAATTTGAGCCCTGAGTGTCAGGCTCTTCACTGACAGCTCAGAGCCTGGAGCCTGCTTCGGATTCTGTGTGTGTGTGTGTGTGTGTGTGTGTGTGTGTGTGTGCGTGCCCTCCCCCGCTTGTACTCTGTCTCTCTTTCTCTCAAAAATAAATAAAAATTAAAAATAAAAAAATAAAGATTACCGACCACAATTAGGGAAGGTTGTCACACACGATTGTACGAAAGCTCTGCCTTGACTTTAATATTTCTTGCTTCCTTTTTTTCCCATTCTCATCCCTCTAAGATATCTTTGCTGTTATAATCAAAGTCTTTGCCCCCGGCTGATACTACACTAGACCAGAGGGCAGTAACTCAGAGTGAATATTTCCTAATGCGAACTTCAATGTTCAGATACAGATGTAGGGGAATTTAGATACAACTGAATTCTGATCAGGTAAAGAAAAAACCCTCAGGATTTGCAAAGGTCCTTCAAAGATTCCACGATGGTGTCTCTCAATAATTGACTCGTACAGGAAAATAAGTAGGGAGGGAGGCCTCCTCAGATGCGGACTCCTGAGCGTGAGTAACATAGGACTTGTCATGTGATTGATGACAAGTTTTCAGATAACCCGTAAGCTCAGGATTACCACGAAGGGGGAAAAGGTAGTGGAGAGGAGAAGGGTAGGTAGTAAGAGACACAAAATGTGTCTGTTCACAAGGATTGTTAGGGAGCAGAACCTCACTTGGGTAGATGCAGGTGTAATGTTTAAAATTGAAATGTGTGGTGCTGAGTGGGTAGATTAGAGATGCAGCAGGCTCACTGCACAGTTGCCCAAAGGAAAATGCTGGGTGATAATCAGCTATATTCATTTTCTTTTGCTGTGTAACAAATCACAAATTAGGCAGGGTACGATAGCACCGATTTATCATCCCGCACCTCGCCATGCGGGAAGATGAGGATGGTGGGGCTGGGGTCTCTGCTCAAGGTCTGCTGAAACCACGGTGTCATGGGGCTGCATTCTCTTCTGGAGCCCACTCCTCCTCCCTGCTCATTCTTATTATTGGCAGAATTCAGTTACTTGTGGTGGTAGGAATAAGACCTTGTTTCCTTGTTGGTGGTTACTGGGGGGGGCGGGGGTTGCCTTCAGTTTCTTGCATTCTTTCTCTGGTCCCCTTCATCTTCAAGGAAAGAAATTCACATCAAATCCTACTTATGCTCCAGAAAGCTTTGTGACCTCCCATTCTGCTACCAGCTGGAGAAAACTGCCTTGAAAGGTCTCATGTGATTAGATTAAAGATGGGCTCATCTGGATATTATCCCTATTGCCAAATACTGTAACACAATCACAGGAGGACATGTTGTCATATTCATAGGTACCACCTACACTGGTAGGGGTGGTACCTATGGGGCTTATACATGGGCAAGTGTCCCTGGGCGTTGTTTTTAGCATTCTGTCTACCACACCAAAAGAGCACAAATATCAAAAGTATTGGGGCAGGACATTCAGAGAGCATGCAAACAAATACATTAAATTAGAATTCTGAACTACTTGAAGGGCGCCTGGGTGGCTCCGTCGGTTGAGCTTACGACTTCGGCTCTGGTCACGATCTCACAGTGGTGAGTTCGAGACCCGCGTTGGGCTCTGTGCTGACAGCTGGGAGCCTGGAGCCTGCTTCAGATTCTGTGTCTCCCTCTCTCTCTGCCCCTCCCCCACTCATGCTCTGTCTCTCAAAAATAAACATTTAAAAAAAATAATTCTGAACGACTTGAGAGATGTTTTTGAGTCTTGGCCACACAATAGATCAAATTTTTTTTCTATTGTTTTATCAAGGACACAGAATAAAAGTAGAATGGAGTGGCCTTTAGTAAAGGCAGCAAAGGGAAGTTACATGAAGGAAAAGGGAAGAGGAAAGATATAGTTCTTACTGGAAGGACACCGAAGCTTCAGGCTAAGGAACCATATTGTTTTAGTCTCTGGGTTGAGAAAAGAGATGAGAGATGAGACCAGAGCAGCTGCCCATGAAAGGGATGGAGTGAGAGTTGAGAGAACTCTTTTGAAGAGAATAAACTTGGTTGGCAGAGGGAAAGAAATCTATAATGAGCTTTGTTACTATGAATTTTGAGGTAACCTAACAGGGAAATAACGTATCTTATCAGTTTATTGACTATTTGCTGGAGAGAGTATAATCTCTTGAAATTCCAATGAGTCAGAGAGCTAACAACCTTGAGAAGCAACACGTATCAGGATCCAGTTAGCAGGACACTATCTGGTGTGATTTTAGTTTTGTTATCAGCCAATTTGTGAAGGTTTTCTGGAGAAGAAACTGGGGCATCATCTGGATACTGATCAGTGTATCAGGCGACAAATTGTTTTTCTCGTGAATTGACCTACCCTTCCGTGATTAGACAACAGAGCTCTTGTCAGGGAACCCAAGTATTAATGAGTTAAGTAAAACTGAATTGCCACCTGCTGCCATAGATGGAGAGTGATAGTTGGAAGAGGAGAGAAAAGTTACTTTCTTAGGGAGAAAAGCTACTCTCGGAGATGGTATCAGTCTTTTGTCTCTCTCAACAAGGTGGCTGCCTTCCACCATCCCAAGATGGGGCAGGGAGCACAAGGATCCCACTCCGTAATTAATGAGTTCTAGATCTGTCCCTTCCCCCCTCCCCAATTCTTAATTTGGACCCAAGTCTATTCAGGACACCAACTGAACACTTCCTACTGGAGTTTATTTATTTATTTTAAAATATTTTTAACATTTATTTATTGTTTTAAATTTTTAAATATTTATTTATTATTGAGACAGAGAAACAGAGCATGAGTGGTGAAGGGGCAGAGAGAGAGGGAGACACAGAATCTGAAGCAGTCTCCAGGCTCCCAGCTGTCAGCACAGAGCCCAACATGGGGCTCGAACCCACAAACCAAGAGATCATGACCTGAACTGAAGTCAGATGCTTAACTTCAAGGTGCCCCAACGTTTATTTATTTTTGAGAGAAAGAGAGACAGAGCATGATCAGGGGAGGGGCAGAGAGAGAGACACAGAACCGAAAGTAGACATCTCAGAGTCCAATGCGGGGCTTGAACCCACAAGCTGTGAGATCATGACCTGAGCCTAAGTCGGCCACTTAACTGACTGAGCCACCCAGGTGCCCCATTCCTCCTGGAGTTTAAACACATGTGTCATCTTTGCCTCTACAAGCCACTTTCTGGTTTGCCAATTTGGTGAATTGAAGTATGAGTCATTTGCTTGTATGAGATTGAAGTTGTCCTACATTTCTCATTCTCCTTTACCCTGGACATCCAATCCATCTTCCAGTGCTTTGATTTCTAACTCTTACCTAACTTTTCTCTTCATCCATTCTCTCAGGGTGACCACTGCCATGTCCATGCTCTTCTAATCAGCTCCACAGGGAAGTTTAGCAGCCTCTTTAGCTATTTCTCCTGTTCCAGCCACCCCCACTAATCCAGTATCAGCGTACAGTACCAAGTGCAATCATCCTCACTGCAAAAACCTGGCCATGTCACTCCCTTCGGTGAGTCCTTCGTGGCTCTCTGTGGTCTACCAGACATAAAAGCTACATAGATTAGCATGGAAAAAAAAACTCATGACAATCCTTTTAAACAATTTAAAAGGAAGGAAACTAAATACCTTACAAGAAAGATACCTTGGTATTAGAATGTCAAGTTCTCATTAGAGTCTAGGATAATGATAAAGGGCTCTTTATGTTTCCCTCTTGAGTTACAGATCTCTTTTTCCATTAAGCCCATCACAGTTGGGCATTAGGGAAGACATACCCATGTGCTGTGAGTACCTAGAATAGGTCAGTGCTTCAGAATCTTCAGGTCTTCTCACAGGAGGAGAAAACCAAATGACCTGACCAGATCCAGCCTTCGACTGACGCTGGAGATAATCACCCCTTCTGTCTTCATAGCTCCTACAGCACGTGTTCACTATGCTGACAAATGCTCTTTTTCCTTCAGTCTTCTAAATCTTTTTCTAGTTCTCCAGCTTGATGTGGGTCAGTAGAGCCCTGGGTGGTGGGTTTTGGAAGAGGCATAAGTGAATCCCCGGGACAGAAGTGTGTGGCAGTGGAAAAAACTTCCTGCATGTATAAGGTATGATCACAGCCCTTCTAGAAAACCCAGCCACACCTCCCAGCACTCACATTCTCACACACTTTAGCAACATTGAACTCTAGCTATTTCCAAACATGCAGCACATAACATTTCCCTTGAATGGCGCATCTCACAAACTCATTTTGCTCTTCAAAATCTCAGTTAAATAGCACTATCTAAAATGTGCCTTGTTTTTCCCCAGATCATGAGCTCTTTCCTCTGTACTCTTACTACACCTTACACAACTCTTCCTTTCTGTAGATGCCAAGTTAAAATTATTATTGGTATGGCTAACTTCCCATTGGACTACAAAATCTTCAATGTAAGAAGACACGTATTTCCATCATTCCTTCCCCAGAATCTTCCTCTGTACTTGGCATACAAGTACCATGAGCAATCAATATTAAATATTATCAGCCTGGAGATAGCAATATTGTCCTTTTGTTCATGCCTGGATTCCCATAGTCTAAAACATAGTCTAAAACCTACCACATAATTGGTATTCATTATATGCCCATTAAAGGAAAGGATAAATAGTTCAGCAATGTCCACAGTGACTGGGTCCTGGGCTTGCTTCTTCTCCTCCCCTTTAAAATTATAGTCCTTAAGCTTAATCAGTTCCCAGTCTTACCTTTCTTTTCTGGTTAAGGGTTCCTGATAGGCTCAATAACACCTTCCCCCAGAGTATTCATTTCCTGATGCTCAGAATCTGAATATATTGTCTTCCATGACAAAAGAGAATTACATTTGAAGATGCAGTTAAATTTGCATACCAGTTGACCTTGAGGTAGATGGTGAGATTCTTCTGGATTATCCAGGTGGGCCCAGTTACATGGGTCTTTTTGGAGTGATGTGGGAAGGACTCCACGCTCTGTGGCTGGCTTAGAAGATGGAGAGGGGTAACAGAGTGGCTCAGGTCGGTTGAACATGTGACTTCGGCTCAGGTCAGGATCTCGCGGTTTGTGGGTTTGAGCCCCCATCAGGCTCTGTGCCAACAGCTCAGAGCCTGGAGCCTGCTTCGGATTCTGTGTCTCCCACTCTCTCTCTCTCTGTCCATCCCTTGCTCATCTCTGTTTCTCTCTGTCTCTGTCTCTCTCTCAAAAATAAACATTAAAAAAATTTTGTAATGAAGTGGGAGAAAGGGGCCATAGAGCTCAGACATCCTCTAGAAACCAGAAAAGGCAGAGACAAATTCTCACCTAGAGGCCCCAAAAGAGCATGGTCTTGCTCTTGATTTCAACCCAATGAGACCCGTGTCAAACTCCTAAATATGTGTTGTTTCAACCCACTAAGTTTGTGATACTTTGTTATAGCAGTGACAGAAAATGAACACAGAGTGAGCCCCACTCCTGAGCCCCTGAAAGAAGGCTGCTGTTGAAGAAGGCCACTCGGGGAGAAGCCTAAGAGAAGGCAGGGGATGATAAGGACAGGAGGTTGAATCAGATGATGCCATTTTTAAAGGCAGATGCTGCCAGTTTCTTCTCTTGGCTTGCTCCATTTTTGCGAATGCCTCCTCTGCACAGGCTTCGGACCAGAATGTTCCAAGAGAGAATCACTGCCAGCCTCAGGGGGCCTATTCTCTTGGGAAGAAGTCTGCCTTTGGTCTGACAGCGGCCAGCATGGTGTGTGAGGCCTCTGCTAAGTAACACAGAGCCACCAAGGTGCTGCTGCCCAGGAAGGCAGGGAAGTCTTGACACAGGACACAGGAAGTCACCTTCCAAACAGCAGGAGGTTAGAATGCATTGTTATTGTGAATATCAGCAGAAGTCCATTCACTTTGAAGCTTCTGCCCCCTTGCAAGGTGACCACACAAATACACTCATGCATGCAGACAGAAAGGAGGGAGAAGGAGATGGAGAGAGAAGGGAGAGAGAAAGGAGGGAAAGAACTATCTCCCCTGACCCTGGAATGTCCTAGCAGTAACCAAGACACCCAAGTCCCTCTGCACCAGCAGTTTGTCAATGCGGCCACATCCTCTGCACAAAAATGGCAAACCCAAGGTACCCGGTAACTCTGCCCTCATGAGTCCCACCCCCACCCCCAAGGTGGCCCAGCAGCCCTGCTCAGGATTCTCTCTGCCCCTCCACTGCTCACTCTCTCTCTCTCAAAATAAATAAATACACATTTTTAAAATACACATACACAAATTTGTTATCTTAGAGTTCTGGAGGTTAGAAGTCCAATGCCTGTCTCATTCAGCTACAATGAACGGATGGGTAGGGCTGCTTTTCTTTCTGAAGGCTGTAGAAGAGAATCAAGCATGTTTGCCTTGTGTCTCCCCACCTCTGTCTTTACAACCAGCTACGTTCACCCCCCCTGGCCCTTCTTACACATTCACGTCTCCCTCTAAACACAGCTAGGAAGGGATCCCTGCTTCTAAAGTTTATTTATCTTGAGGAGGGCAGGTGGGCAGGGAGAGAATGAGAGAGAGAATCCCAAGCAGGCTCTACACCATCAGCGCAGAGCCCTACATAGGGCTTGATCTCAGAACCATGAGATCATGACCCGACCCGAGCTGAAATCAAAAGTCAGATGCTCAACCAACTGAGCCACCCAGGAGCTTAGAGTTTCCCTGTTTTTAAAGACCCATGTGATGAGAAAGGGCTTCCCAGATAACCCATGATAGTCTCCTCGATCGAGGCCAGCTGATTAGTAACCTTCATTGTACCCACAACCGTAACTCCCTTTTGTAAGCTAATCTAAACATTTACAGTTTATGGGATGTGAGCATCTGAGCCTCTTTTTCTGCCTATTGCAGGAAAAGTCCACTAGAGGGCACGGACTTCTTCCTTATTATGACATTATATTTCAAATAATGAGAAATGAGAAAATTTGACAAAACTGAACACTGTATCACCAATTAAAGAGAACTCAGTACACAAATCTCTCTCATGAGGTCTTTCAAAGGTTAATCATATAATAGGGAAATACATAGGGTGGAGCAAATTCCTCGGAACTGAAGTGGCTGAAGCACAAGTAAAATAGGATTTGAAGTGTGGTAACCATTCTACAGTCTGTATCTCGGCTCAGGATCACCCCTAGAAAAAATACTGCTGTGCACTTAAAGGGATAAGCATGTTTCCCTACAGGGTATTTTAAGAAACGGCTCCTCGGTGGGGTGGAGGCCAGCATAAGTATTGTTGTCAGAGACTGTTATCCCAGAAGGAATGGGTGGGAAAATGTGGCAGATTTCCTAAGTAGTGCCTCCGAGGAGGGGGCTGAGAGCAGGCACTGAAGAAGTCCATGGACAGATGGACAGCACAGAGTGAAATGCATTACATTAAAGTACAAAAGACAAGGGAGATATTTCAGGGCTCCTGGCCATCTACAGGATTCTCTTTTCTTCCAGGCCCTTAGTTAGGGAAATAGAAATTTGCCCCACATTGGAAGAAAGTTCCCAAACTCTTGAAAGTGGTGGCCTTCAGGAAGGAAAGATTAGAAGGAAGCTTCTAGGAAGAAAAGGTGGGAAGGTATAGCAAATGGCTCGTGATCTAAAGATACAAGGAACTCAGGTTAGTGGTATCACTTTAAAGTCTTGGGTTGATGTAGAGAAAGAAAAGAGGGCCCAGAGCATCCTCACTGGCAATAGGGTGTGGAGGAGGGAGCAGCTTATGTCTGAGGAGAGTGAATTAGCTGCTGGGGGACAGGAGTATAGAATCAGATGCCACTTGGAGGCGCCCAGGTGGCTCAGTTGGTTAAGCGTCCAACTTCAGCTCAGGCTGTGATTTCATGGTTCATGAGTTCAAGCCCCATGTCAGGCTCTCTACTGTCCATGCCGATCCTCTGTCTCCCCCTCTCTCTGCCCCTCCCTAACTCTTTCTTTCTGAAAAATAAACATTTTTGAGAAAATGAATCAGCTGCCTCCTGAATCTTGGGTTAATTTAACATGGAGAATGCTTGGGGCGCCTGGGTGGCTTAGTCGGTTAAGCGTCCGACTTTCGCTTGGGTCATGATCTCGCGGTTCGTGGGTTCGAGCCCCGCATCGGGCTCTGTGCTGACTGTCAGCTCAGAGCCTGGAGCCTGTTTCAGTCTGTGACTCCCTCTCTCTCTGACCCTCCCCTGCTCACGCTCTCTCTCTCTCTCTCTCTCCTAGAAATAAATAAAATATTAAAAAAAAATTTATAAAAAAAATAACATGGAGAATGCTTGGGATAAACTATAAATCTTTAAGCGGTAATTGTCCACCTGTATGATGTGGGAAGCGCAATGGAACCTGGGAAAATCCACCAGGCAGGAAGTAAATAGTGGGTTTAGCTTTGTGGATGCGGGTAAACTGTGAAAGATTTCTAAAGATGATCTTCAGTTTACTAAGATCATTGTTGACTTGAAGAGGGCTCTTGAGAATGAAAACTGCTTTCCCTTCCTGGAGAACACCGGTCTCCCAGCAAGAGTATGGAGGATTCTCAGGACAACAAAAAACACGAAGGGCTGAAGTCGAGCCAAGCCTGCTCCCTCCATGGTTTTCCTGGAAGGAACAGAACTGGTAGTGACATAGGAAGAGAGAACACGCCTCCTTAGAGCAGAGTTACTGTCCTGATAGCCAGCATGCCTCTCTCGCTGGCCTGGAATGGTGACAGTTTGGAGCTGCACCTCCAGCTTGAGGGGGTTTCGAGCAAGAAAGCCCTCTCTGAGGTGTGGGCACTGTCCCCAAACTGGGATGAAACTTCTTGCCTGGAGGTGACAATGATTTGGCAAAATAGAGAAGGTCTCTGTGAAGTCCTAGCTGTGGTTGGAAGCAGTTAGGGGAGATGAGGCAGTCTCTTCTCTCCCCTCCTCCCCTGGGCCCTTCAAGAATATTCCGGCTCTAACAAAGCACAAAACAAACTCAAAGGTATTCAAGAGGGGAAACATTCTGGGCAACCCCAGGAAAGTCACCTCAATGCAGGAAGGACATGGTGACCCAGAAAAGGGAGCAATACATGCTGCTGGAACTCAGAAGAGATGCCATGATGCCCCCAGCCCCAGACAGAACTTCCTTTGACTTGGATATACAGCCGATTGCAGGCAGCATCCAGGATGTATCCCTGCTTCTGTGCGGAACAGCACGTGGAGATTGCAAGAAAGAGGCTGAAAGCCTACAGTAGACAAAGAAACCATGCAGGCTGGTAAAAATGTGAGGTGACTGTAGTCAGCAGATGTCACCCCTCCCTTTAGGAAGGGAGAGAAGAGGGAATGGAAGAAAGATATGCCAAACACCAACCTTGAGGAAAGCAGTCCCTTGCGCCCACAACTACGTGTACTCTGCTAACGAGGAAAGAGTCCTGCACCTAACATGCTGAACTGGATACAGACCAGTGAAATAATCCACAATGGGGACCTGACAGAAGTTTTACACGTGAGCCTCTTGTAAACAGTAGCAGCTAAAACACATGTCGGTGGGTAAATAAGGATAGGAAAATACTCCTGCAGAGCAGAAGTGAGGACTTCTAAAGTGCAATTTTGATGACAATCTAAGGTTCATGCTCTCACATTTCTAAGTGACCAACATGTTATGCCAGTTTTCATCAGAAAGATTTAAAATACACAAATATTTACCAAGTTGAACGAAAGGATACTGATGAGACATTGTTCAGTGTGCAGAAATAAGCAGCCTCAAAGGAGAGCGAGGGGAATGGTGATCATAAGCCTTGTCAGCTCACAGCGGCCTGTACTGACTGCCTGGGTTTCACTTCAGCCCCGTGAGGAAAGGGGAGTGGTTTCACCCCTGAAAATGAGGGCCAAGAAGCTGCAGAGATGGAGACATTACAGAGATTGATGAGAGCCCCCGGGGCTGGGAGACACCTGTGTGAAGCCACCATGGGTTTCCGGCCCCTGGGCTGGGTCGTGCTTTGTCTCCTGGGAGCAGGTGAGTTTCGGGACACATGGATAACTTGACCGTAGCTTGCAGGTCTCAGCTCAAGTCCTTTTCTAGAGCCTCAGGTGCCCTCCTCGGCTGTCTCTATTTCTGTTTCCTTCTCTCACAGGCCCCATGGAAGCCAAGGTGACCCAAACCCCAAGACACCTCATCACGGGGACAGGAAAGCAGTTGACAGTGCATTGTTCTCAGGACATGAACCATGATGCTATGTACTGGTATCGACAAGACACAGGGCTGGGTCTACAGCTGATCTACTTTTCGAGGAATGTTGACTTTTTTGAAAAGGGAGATGTCCCCAATGGGTACGCTGTCTCTCGGAAGGACAAGAGGAAATTCCCCCTGACCCTGGAGTCCACCAGCACCAACCAGACATCTCTATATCTCTGTGCCAGCAGTCTACCCACAGCGCCGCACAGCCAGCTGCTCTCTGAACAAAAAGAGGACCACAAGAAGAAGGAGGCTCCTTCCTGGGGGGCCCCACCCCAAGTAGGGGCCTTCTCTGACTTCCCAAGTCCGGGGACCCTGATCAAGCACCTCTGGAGCTCATGCTGAAGCCCTTTCTCCATACAGAGCTTCATTGCTCCCCAAACAGAGCGCTCCATTTTCACTCCAATCACTCCGCAAACTTTTGTCCCACATTCCACATCCTATTCCCGGATGTTGGCCACTCAGGGGAAGAGAACGTTCTAGGTTGTTTACAAAATCTGCCATCTCCCGTTTTCCCGACCTCAGTGAATGGTCCTGCCATCCACCCAAATGGCCAAGCCAGAGATGTAGGAGTCATCCTCACCATCTCCGGATCCTATCCTTCTACCCGGCATCCATCCCCACCCCCTACAGATTTCTAGATGTTATACCCCTTGCAAATTCTACCGATGTTTCTAACTTCATCGGTGACACCGGGGCCCAGCAGATGTCTCTCATCTGGATTCCTCAACCACCTTTGAAGTAGTTACCTCCCACTTCCAGTTTGCTACCTGCCTCCATCCACAAGCCTCTGTCTCCAGCTTAAACCCATCAGTGTCTTTTCTTAACCTCACCAAAGTCATGGGTATAAACTTGAGACTTACAAGCCTCTCCATGATGTGGTCTTTGCATACCTGTCTACCTTCCTAACATGAATATCCTCTTTCTTTCAGTTACCACCACTACCGGACATTTCTGTCTCTTACAGGTCCCCACATATGTCCCCTGCTGCCTCACTGCTGGGTCTTCACCAATAACATTCACTCTACCTAGAGCACCCTTCCTCTCCCCATCTGATTGATGCCTGATTGACCATTCCTCTGTATGCTAATTAAGAAGTCATTTCCTCCAGAACGATTTCCTTGAAGCCCTGGCTAGGTTAGGCCTCTCCTCACTGCTTTTAGGACTGCCTGAATCTCTATCCTCAAGGCAGTCAACACACTCAACTGTTTATTTTTTAAAATTTACATAATCCGGACACCTGGGTGAGTCAGTCGATTGAGCATCCAACTCTTGATTTTGACTCAGGTCATGATCTCATGTTTAGGGGGATGGAATCCCACGTCAAGCTCTGCACTGACAGTGAGGAACCTGCTTGGGATTCTCTCTCTCCTCCTCTCACTGTCCCTCCCCAGCTCACTCATGCATGCTCTCTTTCTCTCTCAAAATAAATAAATAAACTTTTTATTTTAAAAACAAGTTTATGCTAATAAATACTAAGCTTAATGAGAACAAGGATCATGCCTATATTGTTTATCTTTTTTATCTCCATACTTGCCAGAGCGCCTAAAGGCAGTAGTGTTAGGTAAATGAGTGACTCCGTCTTCTTTTGGACACTCTTTGTAAAATCTCTCTGACTAGTCCAATATCTAGGCCCCCTGCAAATTTCTCTCCTGGGCATAGTTTGGGGAGATTGCAGGGGTTTTCACATCTGTATAGAAGCCAGACA